GTTGAAAAATGTCTGCTCCTCAATGGAAAAAATTAATAAGAATTAGAAGCTTAGGGGTTTTGTGAGTGTGGTTGTGTTTTTTACTGTAATCTACTACCTTACATACATCAGTGATTCCCTTTTTCACAAAAAGGATCAGAAGTATGTAAAACAAGCATAAGTGAAAACGTGTTAATACCATTTTTATCAGCCAAACAATAGATGGTATATTGTTATGTACTGGGCAATATGGGTACAAAGTCTAGCCCTACAAGTTGGACTACAAAGGAAGTATATGAAGCCAATCTAAGCATCTTGCACTAAGAAATCTCACAGCAGGTTCTTTTTTATGAGGTCATAGATTACAGTGTTATTATTACTGTTGCACTTGTCATCGTTTACATCCCTCTATCAAATACTTGTCTTTTGAGTTTTAGAAACAGAATATTTGACTGTAGATTTTTTAGAGTTGGGAAATCCTAAATAAGGAAAATGCAAAATTAGGTATTGGAAATTCTGTTTAGTTCAGCCATAAACTCTTGGGAAGTAAAATGTTTTCCTGACAGACTTCCTCATTCTTTACAATGGAAGTATTCATACCTATATATTGATTATCATTATAGCCTTTGTGTGAAGAGGTAATAGTAATGAGAAAATAATATGTTGAAAAAGATATTTCATGAAAAAACTCAACCCTAAATTTATTGGCACATTAGGCAGAATAACAGATTAAACACATTTTTACAATAGCTAAATAATTTGGTTATATCAAATGTGGATCAGCAAACTACCTCACCAGGCACATTATGATGTTACTTGGAAAAGGCACAGGTACCTCAATGAGACTCAAATTTCCAAAGAACGACAGGAAAATAAGTGATTTTTTTTTGTTTGTTCACTGCATTGTGTTATTCCTTGATGAAATAATAACAATGAAATGATTTTGACAATGCTGATTGTGTTGGTGCTCCTTAGTGGTGCTCCAGAATATAATTATTATATATTATTATATAATATATTATATAATATATATTTATTTATGTTATTAATCAAATTTATGTGGCTGCCCATCTCACAGAAATTCATCTGGAAGGTGAAAAACAAACTAGTAAAAAACAGTAAATGAATAAGACAATTGTTAGTTAAAACTATTATATAATTATTAACCAGAATTAAGAATTATAGAAGCAGACCTAAAACAGGTAAAGAAAATAATGCATGGTTGGATGTCAATAATAAAGGAGCCACATCCTGAGTCTCAAGCCTACTGGGTCACTGGTAGGACCTGATGGATTACATCCCAGAGTTTTGGAGAAACTGGCAGATGTGATCTCGGAACCATTATTGAACCATATCTTTCAAAGTCCTTGGAGCACTGGGGAACTACCAAAAGATTGGAAAAGAGCTGATGTGGCCCCCATCTTTACAAAAGGAAAAACTACAGCCTGACATCAATACCTGGGAAGATATCTATATGGAGGGAAGTAAGCAGTAGGGTACCTGGGAAGATCTGTTTTAAGCCCAGTACTCTTTAATATCTTCATAAACAATTTAGATGAGGGAATAGAAGGGGGACTCATCAAGTTTACAGATGACACTAAACTAGCAGGAATAGTCAACACCCCAAAAGATAGGCTCAAGATCGAGATGATCTTGAGCACTGGGCCCTATCTAAAAAAATGAAAATAAATATAAAGAAAAGTAACGTTTTCACTCAGGCAAGAAAAACCAAAAGTACAGTTACACATTAGGTGAAATTTGCCTCAATGGCAGTAATTGTGAGAGGGATTTTGGAGTCCTAATGGACAATTACTTAAAAGAGCTGTGGTGGCACAGTGGTTAAAATGCAGTATTGCAAGCTAACTCTGGTAATTGCCAGCAGGTTGACTCAGCCTTCCATCCTTCCAAGGTCGGTAAAATGAGGACCCAGATTGTTGGAGGAAATATACAAACTATGTAAAACACTTAGAAAGGGCTGTAAAGCACTATGAAGTGGTATATAAGTCTAAGTGCTATTGCTATTGTTAAATATAAGCCAGCAGTATGGAACATCAGCCAAAAAAGCCAATGCTAGGTTATATTAACAGAGGGATAGAATCAAGATCTCATGAAATATTAGTACCATTTTATGAAGCCTTAGTAAGACCACACATAGAATACTGCGTCCAGTTTTGGTCACCATATTATAAAAAAGATGCTGAAAGAGTGCAGAAAATAGCAACAAAGATTATTAGGGGGCTGGAGACTAAAACATGAACATTTGCAGGAAGTGAGTATGGTTAGTGTAGTGAAAAGAGGGATAAGGGTTGACATGATAGCAACGTTCCAATATTTCAGGGGCTGCCACAAAGAAGAGGGGGTCAACTTATTTGCCAAAGCACCAGAAGGCAAGACAAGAAACAATGGTTAGAAACCCAGGAGAGAAGCAACCTAGAACTAAGGAGAAATTTCTTGACAGTGAGAATAATTAACCAGCTTGTCTTCAGAAGTTGTGGATGCTCCATCACTAGAAGCTTTTAAGATGAGATGACAGCCACTTTTCTGGAATGGTATAGGGTCTCCTGCTTGAACAGGGTTTAGACTAGAAGACCTACAAGGACCCTTCCAAGTCTTATTCTATTCTGTTCTGTTTCAATGTCCCCATTCAACAATGGAGCTTAAAATATGGAACCAGTATTTGCAATCTAACTGATGTCATAGCATTGTTGTTTTCTTAAAATTGGGAAAGGGCAGAACTGAAGAGAGTATTCAGGTCTTGTGGGATCTTCAGAAGCTCAGGAGTAATGATGCCAGCCTTATATCTGGGGTGAGAAGATTCTTTAATACTGGCGCAACAGCAGAAAAGGCCTGCTGTCTAGGACCCATCAAATGTAGCTTTCTAGATGATGAGTGACATATCTGACATAACATATATAAAATAATATAATTATATGAAATTATATAATATTATAAGTTTGGTTGCCAATCCGGTGTAAAATTCTGTCTGGTGATCAGCCATATAATTTTATATAATAATCAACTGGAGAATCACTTGAACATCACTGGCATTGACAAAATTATTATCATTCAATTATGAAAGGTATTACTTAGAACACCTGACATTCTATAACAATATCTTTAATACCATCAAACAACAACTGCTTATCCTTGGAAAGGATTTGCCAAATTCAGTCTAAATACCTGACTAAATGTATGGCCAACCATAATAATATCTAAATATAGAGAGGGAACTCTGGTCCACAATATATCTTGTCAGATGTCAGATCTTACTGTTTGCTTGGCTTACCTACAACAATGTTGCAATGGATGGGCATCACAAAGCAATCACTGTTTACACTCACAACTGAGTGCCTATTGCCAGTTCCAGCAATTTTGCAATACAGGAAATTATGGCTGCCCAAAGCTTGCACAATTGAATCCAGTCAAGCAGCTCTTAGAAAGGATGGAAGACCTCACCCCATTCCTAAGAGGTCTGTAAGGGGCATGCATAAGCACACAATTGTGCCTACCATCCCTGTCCTATTGTCCCCATTTATTCATACCTATTTCCTGTATTCATACTCATGTTTATTCTTACACCTATTATCTTGTAAGTGATTTACAAATCAAATAAATCAAATCAAATCAAATAAAACAAACAAACAAACAAATAAATAAATAAGGCATGCATAATCATGGTCCAGTCCTCCTTAACTAGCTCTGATGGTCTTTCCCTGAAGTCCCTATTTCAAGGTTGATCAAAATTGCTATTTTTTAGCTGTGAAATCCAGAAGGAAATACTAATCTGTTCCTACCCCTTGGCTACGACAAATGCCACTCAACTATTATTTCTATAAGCAATCCAAAGCTTAATTGAGACAACTATTCATTCTGGGTAGAAGTTAGAGTGGAGAGTCAGATTGAAGACATGGCTGTTTCAGAAAGGACTTTTGTTTACATCTGAATATGGCATAAATATTCCCTAATGGAGTTGTAAAACAATTTAAAGTTGAATTAAGAGGAAAATTAAGGTCAAGACCTAGTTGCATAAAAAGAAAGTAGATATTCTTGTGGGCCTGGTTTGCAATAGTTTAAACTTGGCCTATATAGGAACAAATATCTTTCTGAAAAAGAAATGCCCGGTAACTCAGCTCCCTTTCAACTATGCCATTCTTGCTATGCAAGAGCTAAGGGAAGTCATTTCCCAGCTACCTATTCAGCTGCCAGATACTTAGGTGAGGTCATTTCACAGGGAGTAACTGAGAGGACTGGTAAAGTTGTAAATTACTCACTCTTTTTCACTCATACAAGGACCACTCTTGATGAACACTCTTTAATCTATTAGACCTATTTAGAGAAATTATTCAAACATTTTCTCCCTCCAACACTGGCCCTGGAAAATTAGCTGAAAGGCCTGCATTAAAGAGAGGAGCGGGATGAACCTCAGGCTAAAGAAGGGAGGGAGGCCACATAACTGGCATTTGGAAGCACCATCTGGTCCCAGTCTTAGCTTCTGGCTTCACCGTTGGTGGGTCTTTCCTGAGTTTCACTTGCCTATGTGCCAGTAGTTGGATTCAATTTTTTATACTACCGGTTCTGTGGGCGTGGCAGGGGAAGGATACTGTAAACTCTCCAGTCAGAGGTGGTATTTGCCGCTTCTCCGAACTATTCAAAATTTCCGCTACTGGTTCTCCAGAACTGGTCAGAACCTGCTGAATACCATCTCTACTATGCACCCAAGTGAGCCAGAGGAAAAAGCTTAGGAGGTGTAGAAATGGCTAATTACTACCAACATTAAAAGAGTTTCATTGGGTAGATATATTTTAAAGGGTTTAGTTAAATTCCAGTTTATTATATACTTTATGCCTACACCCACTGTATAAAACGGTGTTATAACAATGTCCCTGACTCAAATATTGTAGACTATGGAGGATCCTAACATATTGCTGCTATGAAGATTAGTGATACAAGTCTAGCGTGAAGTGAAGCCTATAGCAACTGGTCACTGTGTCAGTGTCTTACACTGCTTTTTTTTTTTCCAGGCCTACACAATTCAAGGACAATATGCAATTCCACATCCAGATGTGAGTTTCTCTTTATTATTCGTAAATGTATTTTATGTTACCTGCATGCTTTGTCAAATGAGTGATATTAATATTAATATTTAATATTAATATGCTTTTCTCAAAATAATTGGCCATGTGTAGTATTGGTAATAATTAGGATCCAATTATATTTCTATTGAGGACTTGGCCTGTTGTTAAATTATCAAAAAAAAATGCTGTGCTATCCCTTTACTAAATTTTTTGTTCACTGATATTAGCCATTAAAGAGCCTTTCCTTTTATTTTTTTTCTGCCATAATGCTGCTAATGAGACAAACAACCTGAATTTATGCATCTTCTTATTTTATGATGTGATAATACCAGTGATAGGATTCAAAAACTTTTACTACCGGTTCTGTGGATCTGGCTTGGTGGACTTGGCTTGGTGGGCGTGGCAGGAGAAGGATACTGTAAAATCTCCATTCCTTCCTCACTCCTGGGGGAAGGTTACTGGAAAATCCCATTCCCTCCCCACCCCACTAACCTGCTTTCCAGCTCCGTTCTCCTGTGCAGGGCAAAAAAGAAGACCCAGCTGATCAGATGGGACTCGGGAGGCAGAGAATAGATGGGGGCGGGACCAGTCAGAGATGGAATTTGCCAGTTCTCCGAACTACTCAAAATTTCCGCTACTGGCTCTCCAGAACTGGTCAGAACCTGCTGAATACCACCTCTGGATTATACCAAGAATCCTTGCTATTTTCCTTAGTCTTAGTGCTTATTTATTTAATTTACATTCCACCTTTTGCCAAGAGCTCAAGACATTTACATATCTTTAGTTATAATGAAAGAGGATAGTAAATTTCTGCTGATGCTAAATCCTTTATTTTTAGAATTTAGAGGGGGGAACAGTTGGTTATTGTTCTCCAGTTGTTATGCCAAACCAGAAGTAGGCATCATTATTTGTTTTACATGTTTAGCAAAAAATATTTTTTTTCTTAATAGCAATAAGACTTATATACTGCTTCACAGTGCTTTAGAGCAGGGGTCGCCAACCTTTTGGACCTCAGGGACCGCCAAACTCATAATTTTAGATCCCAGGGACCACTAACTGGTTCTGTGGGTGTGGACTAATTTGTGGGTGTGGCTTGGTGGTCATGTGACTGGCTGGGCATGGCTTGTATGTAAATATTATAAATATTTATATAAATATTGAACTTTTTATTAAAAAGAGCAACTTTTACCTCAAATCAGGCAAAGCAGGCAGATTGAGTTGCTCACAGAATCATTCAGTGATCTATTTATCTGCCATTGGCTAACTCAGTCTCTCAAATTTGCTTGCCTTGAGTCTGCACTGAATTTGCTGGCAAGCAAAACTTCAGTCATAAGGGAGGTTCGGCTATGCTTTAAAGCAGAGCTGAAGATATAAAGACTAGCTAGAAAGCAAGAAATCCAACCATTTCCTGCTTCCTAGCTAATCTAAATCTCCTGGCACAGCAGAACAGATGATGGTCGGAAAAAGAAAAAATAAAAATTTAGCAGGCAAGTTTGCTGGGTAAGGAGTGTGGGGGTGGGAAGGGTTCCCACAGGCCATGTGGGCAGCGCAGCCTTGTGTTTCTGCGCAGCCTGGATTAATTGCTTTGGAGGGGTGCTCTGGGGGTGAGATTTCTCTGCGGCCCATCAAAATTTTCTCACGACCCACCAGTTGGCAACCCACTGATTGCACTCTCTAAGCAGTTTACAGGGTCAGCAAATTGCCCCCAATAATCTGGGTTCTCATTTTACTGATCTCAGAAGGATGGAAGGCTGAGTCAACCTGGAGCTGGTCAGGATTGAAGGAACTGAACTCCTGGCAATGTGAGCAGAGTTAGCCTGCAACACTGCATTCTAACCACTGTGCCAGCACAGCTCTTACTTTATGTTTCTTTCCTTTTTTTAAAAAAAAAGCATATAAATAACATTTGTGAAAATGCTTCTCATAAATGAGATTGGTACCAACTGTTGTATCTTTCAGCTGCAAAGTGAAGATTATGAATGAATTTTATTAAGCCCATTCTATGCTACCAATGGATGCTCACACTGAATTTTATACAGGGAGAAAAAAAATTGAGGCTTCATTTTTACCTGTTTTCAATGTCTAGGCTTTATGCTTGCTTGCTTATGTATTTATGGATGGAAGAAAAAATATATAGCCTAAATATTGAGAATGTGAAATTAATTACTGTTCTCTGATCAGAAATACATGTCTTAGGAGAAATGTAATAAAATGCAGTTATAAATAACATTTGCTTAGAAAATGTTTATCTGATCAACTGCATATAACACTGAACGTAATAGAATAAATATACAATACATAAAAATATGGAAGAAATATGGAAACACGTTCAAACAAACTTAAGCCTACTTCTCATGCAGGGATGGGAAATTGATATGGAAATGAAAGTGCTAGCTGAGAGATCCTTCATGCTCTCTGAGCTTGGTTGTTTTCTTGCAAACATTTCATTGCCCAAACTAGGTAACTTCGCCAGTGCTGATTACACACTATGATGTTACCTAGTTTGGGTAATGAAATGCCTTCAAGAAAACAACCGAGTTCCAGGGAGCACCAAGGACCTCTTATTTCAACCCTGAGTTACAAATATTCTCCTTTAAAGTGTTAGTTATCCTTATAGACCTCTGTTGGTCTTTCACAGTAGTATAGCTGTCCATAATGAAGATCTTTGTACAAGGGCTTCAGGGTGATACAGAACACCAAATGATGTGAAATTAAAACTTAACCACATAGGCAATCAAAATACTATATATCATGCAACTATGACTCAAGGTCCCTCTTCTTCAGAAAAAGAACCTACTGATCATTATTTACAAAGGAGGTGGGTAAGTCAGTCCTTCTCTCCTTTAGGTTAATAAAACTCAACTAGTTCATGAATATTATAAAAATGAGAAAATAGCGTGTTTGTAGCAGTAGGTAAAAAAGAAAATTGATATAGTTATATGAAAAAAATAATTGCATTTTAATAATTTGTTCTCAGGTGGTTCAGTCCCAATCCAAATGAGAGCAAGGAACTGGAGTGGAATAATAAGGAGCAGATCAGCCCATGGAAATTAATGTCACTATTTCTCAAATAAGAAATGTTATCACATCTTACAAAGTACATCCTTAACCAGAGAAAGCAACACAGAACACTTTCTAGATGCAAGAAATCTCATCAATTTAGAAAAACTTCAGCTGCTAGCGTTTCAATTTAGATTGTAATAGTGGTGGGATTCAAATGATTTAACAACCAGTTTGCCCAGGGTCAGGTTGGCTGTCATGGGAGGCATGGCCCATTCCCATCCTGCAGCTCTGTCACACATGCAGGGCAAGCCTCCTACGATGGCCAACCTGATCCTGGGCGAACCAGTTGTTAAATTACCCCTTCCTCCCTGCTATCAAAGAAGATCCTGGGTGCTGCGCTGCAATGGAGAAATGGGAAATGAAGTGGCCGGCACAAGGGAAGGAGGAGGAGCAGGGAGAAGAAAGAGGGAAAGCGGCTTCCTCCTTCCTTGCACCAGCTGCTCCATTTCCTGTTTCTCCATTGTAACGCCATGCCACACCACAGAGCTTGCCCCACCCACCATTGCCCAGATGTCCTCGCTTCCCCCAAGCATTCCTTTGCCTACCTGATTTCTAGCTCTGTCACATTTCTTCATTGCGTTTCTCACCAGGAAAACAAGTTTGTGGGACTAAAAAAAAAACTTCAATCAATCAATTCCAACTTCTTGGAATTGATTGAACTTTTTTTTTTAGTTCCACAAACTTTTGTTTCCCTGCACACATCGGCAAGAAATGTGACAGAGCTGGAAATTAGGTAGGCAAAGAAATGCTTGGGGGAAGTAAGTACATCTGGCCTCCAGGCGCTGAAATGAGCCCATCTCTTTCCAGCAGCTGCCCAGGCACACCAGAGGAAAGACCGTTCTTCATATGTTTTATCCTCCAGGCCTTTAATAATTTAAATTTAATGTAAAAGGTTTTATAAAATGATACTTATATTCTTTGCAGTCTTTCAGACATCTGTAATATATGCATATTTATGTATTTTCCCTAGTGTGCTGTCGAGAGTTAAGTAAATGAAGGAAAAGGGATTGTGGGTTTTTTATTGTTGTAAGTTAGGTATCTGTAATTAATTTGCCTAACCAAATGATTACATAAGTGGTTATACAAATTACATAGCTTCTAGGGAATATATAACATTTGCAATCTGGCTTTTGAAACTCTGGGAACATTTGGTGGATGAATGTCCAGGACAGTTGGCAGCCCATATTTCACAAAACAGCAAAGTTTACACTGTTACAAGTCTTCCAAGGAGCTAAAACTTTTCTAACTTTGTTGCACACTGCTCAGTCACATGATTGTGAAATGGGAAGCTATATAAATTTGATGAATAAATAAATAAAACCAGAAATCTAAAACAATTTATTTTTAATAAAAAATAGTTTGCATCCTTACTAAAATAAAAATCATACCATCTTTTTTTCTTTCCTCATTCTCCTTATATAAGAAACTTACTGAGAAAAGTATGATTCATGAAAGACACATTGACTGGTTAGCTTGGTGTGAAGTGGAGCTATTGTGTTCTGATTAGTTCATTGAATTTTATATTCTGGTCTATTCAGGTAAAATAAAGCTGGTTTTCCATAATAGATCCTCTGAATGTATTCTGAACTCTGTATATTTCAGTTCTGAATTCACTCCATTTCAGGAAAGCCTATTTTAGTTTGGCATCCCTGAAATCTTTCTGAGTCAGCCAAACTGAGTTCAGTGCATCTGACTAGCCGAAGAATGTATGAATACAAAGAGATATTCAAGCAATATAGAGTATATTGTCACTAGAGCCAGTTTGGTGTAGTAATGAAGATACCAGGCTACAAAGTGGGAGAGCATGAATTCAAGTCCTGCCTTAGTCATGAAAACCACTCAGCTGAGTGACAGTCACTCTCTCTCAGCCCAACCTACCACATAGGGTGGGGAAAATAGGAGGAGGAAGGTGGGTTGGATATTTTCACTGCCTTGAATTATTTGTTAAAATAATAAAGGTGGGATACAAATAAATGAAATGAAAAAATATGCATATTTAAAACTTCTTTTTGGAGATGAGCAATTCACTTTGGATCCACAGAGGAACCATGTGTTATTTTTCCAAAGCTTCTGTTTCTTCTTATGTATAATGGATAAATCACTAAATTATTGTAACATATTTATGTTTTGTGGAATCGGATGGAATTTAGAAGCCCAGATACGTCTCCATAAAATTTTAGGAGTAGAAAAGTGTTGAAGTTCTGAGCATTTAAAAGGACAAGCCCTTCTCATCATCTTACTATGATAAACCTCCCCTTATAATTTCTGAAGGTCTGGTATACAGCATGATATGGTGAATAAACAACAGTTTTAAGGTTTAAAAATTGTTCCATTGGGTCCCAAGTCCTAAAATTGTTGATGGAAAAATTAGATTTCATTACAATACGGAACAATGTAGTGCATGAGAATCTATAGACATGAATTTAAAATGGAGTAGTTGTAAATTGGAAGCAATTGTCAGAATAGACTTCTGATTGCAATCTATATGTGGAAGGGAATTCTGCTTCATGATACCAAATTTGCAGGGGCTGAAGACTGTGAAACAGGCATTTGAATTGCAGGTAAACAGAGGTCATGGTTGTCTACTTCTTGGATCTATGTAGTATTCAACATCTCACCTTCTGAAAATGCATAAAACATAGATGTTCTATTTATCTCTCTCCCTGACTTTTTTTTACCTTCTGTTAAATCCATCTGAAATAAAGCCACTGCATCTGATGGCAAAACAGTCACAGTAGGTTAGCTTGGTTGGTGAAGAAGGCTTTTCTGTTTGTCTGGTTTTAAGGGTCACTTGAGAGCCAGTTTGATTTAGTGATTATGGCATCAGACTAGAAACTGGGAGATTATAAATTCTAGTCCCACTTTAGGCATGAAGTCAGCTGGCTGATTTTGAGCTGGTTATTTTCTCTCCGTCCTAGGAAGGAGGCAAAGACAAACCAGTTCTGAAAAACCCTGCCAAAAAAACTTCAGGGACCTGAGCAGGTAGTCTGTGAGAACTGAACATAACTGAACTTCTGTCTAGAACTTCTGAAGAAAAAAAAGGTTCAGTTAAGCCACTGAGTCCAACTGCCTCTTAATTTAGGAATTCAAATTAATATATCCAAAACAGAAGACTGCCTAGATTCCACCTTAAAATGTCCAATGAAGAGGTGCCCACCAACTTTTATTTATTTTATTTATTTATTTTTGTCAATTGCTTACAAGGTAATAGGTATAAGTAAAAACATAGTTATGAATACATGGATACATATAAGAAAAATAAAAAACAAAAAACAATAGGACAGGGACGGTAGGCATGTTGGTGGGCTTATGCACGCCCCCTACAGACCTCTTAGGAAAGGGGTGAGGTCAATAGTAGACAGTCTAAGGTTAAAGTTTTTGGGGTTTGGGGAAGAAACCACAGACTCAGGTGGAGTATTCCAGACATTGACCACTCTGTTGCTGAAGTCGTATTTCCTGCAATCAAGTTTGGTGCAATTAACCTTGAGTTTGTATCTATTGTTTGTGTTATGGCTGAAGCTGAAATATTCATTGACTTCCTGGGTAATTGGTTCCATTATCAAATACTGTTTCTGTTAATATATTTTTTTTAAAAAGTTCAGTCAGGATCTGCCATCTTGTTATGAAATCTATTGCTCTGTGGAACACAAGAGAACAATGTGTGATCTCTCCTCAATTATCCTTTCTAAAGATACATACAGATTAACAGAGTTGGAAGAGATTTTATAGTCATCTAGTCCAACCCCCCCACCCAAACAATGTCCAGCTTCTTTAATTTCTCTTTGTAGGCCTTAGTGTCTAGTCCCCTGATCCTCTTCATTGACCTTTTTGGAATCTGTTCAATTTCTATGAATCCTTAATGTATATTGCCCAGAAGTAAACCTAGTATTTGAAGTGGAGATAATCAAATAGAATGGAATGGGTTATTTCCTGTGATTTGGAAACTTAATATCTGTTGATGCAACCTAAAATTGCATTTGCCTTCTTTGCAGCCACATCACACTCTTGGCAATGAATTCAGTTTGCAATCAATTACTAATCCAAGATCTTTTTTGCAAGTAGGTATCCCACATCGTATATCTGTGTATGTGATCTTGTTTCCTAAATGCAGAGATTTGCACTTGTCTGTTAAATTTTATTCTGTTGCCTTTAGATCATTTCTGCCCTGTATCAAGATTTTTTAATTTTATTTCAGTCTTCTAGGATATTCACTATTCCATCCAAGTTTATATCTATAAATTAGATAAGTGTTTCTATACCTCTGCAGTCAAATCATTAATAAAATCATTAGCAAAGAATAGAGGACAGAATTAACCCTTATGCACCCCATTTGATACCTCTCTCCAATTTAACAAGGACCCTTTGATTAACATTCTTTAAAGAAGTTTGAGTCACCTATGAACTGTCATGCTTAGCTAAGTTGGCAATTTTAAGCCATAGTTAAGTTTAACTAGCTTAGCTAGTTAACCATTTTAATTCCTTGCATGGTTAAGTTTAAGCCATGGTTGAGTTTGAACCAGTTACGAAATGTCATGCCATTCAGTCCATGCTTAACTAGATTAGCATGTCATTGAGTAATTAACCAATGCTTTGTTGATGTCAAGATATATTATGTCTGCAGCATGCTCACAATCTATTAAGGAAACTTCTTGTTCAAAACATGAGATAAGATTAGTCTGGCAAAATGTTTCAAGATCTTCAGCATCTGCTCTGGGATTTTCCCTTATATTAGTGTCAGACTGAGTGGTCTGTAGTTTGCTGGATTTTCCTTTTGCCCATTTTAGTAAACATGAATGTCTGCTATTCTCCAGTCATTTGGTACTTTACCAATTCCAATTTCTCACATATAATGAATAAAAATTCAGCTAGACCACCAACAACTTCCTGACCAAGTTTCTATGATTTTCAAGCTTTAATCCTGCCTCTGCATCCGCTCCTATCAAATTTCCTGGCGGAACATATAGTTTCTTGTAGAAGAAGAAAGGGCTGAATCATATTCATTGGGTGATGCCAAATTTGAGACAGTCCCGTAAAAAAGATATGAAGAACATATTTTGTTGAACAAAACAAACCCACAAGAAACTAGCATTACTGAATCATCCATGGATTTGTTTTCTTTTAAAATTCCTACATATATGGGTTGGTGGCTTTTGCAAAGCAAAATCTTCCCGTCCTACCCACAGTGGGTTTGATCATAATTGTGCATTTCCTCCAATGTACACAATCATAACTGAAATCAGAAGGGCAGCTCTGTGTTACTTCCTGTCTCTATTTACACTTCATACTAAAGTAAAGTAATCACATTATGGCTTAGCCTGATGTGTAAACTTATTGTATAGTTTAATCTTCCAGCAAAGAAGTTCTATATCCCATCACTTTACTATAAATTAAAAACATAATTTGTTGATTAAGCCAGAAAGATTCTACAGACAATGTTCTGGTTAAGCAGCAGTAACCAAATCTTGATTTGTTTTTCCTTACTTGTTCCAAAATTCCATGTTCACAGTATACTAACCTAAAGAATATCCAATTTGTGATTAGGGTTAGTAAAAGTTGCATAGAGTCACACTTTTGAAAAACATAACATTGTCATTCAGAGCACTTCATATAGAAACTTAATTGTTTTAGATTCTTTCCCCCCCACCCCCAATCTATTAAGTTATTTCAGCACAGGTTCTGCAATGCCATTTGTTTCTCATGTTTTGCTTGCCTTCTTGGTTGACTAATAAAAGCTCTTCTTTTCAAACTCCTTGTAACTTTTCTGTCTTCTTCAGCCTCTCAGGTATTCTCTAATTCCAATGCTTCACCTAACTGTTATAACACCAATGTCAGACTTCCCTGCACCCTTTCACTCAGTTATGCTACAAGAGCAGGAGTTTGGTGTTTTTATTTTAATCTTTTCCCTTCTGAATTCAAAAGATCAGAACCTCATAGTTTAGTTGGCTGGTCTGGATGGCTTTAGGGCAGGGATGTCAAACTCACAGCATCATGGCGGCATCACGTGATGTATCGGGACTTTTTCCCTTTTCGCTAAACTGGACATAGGTGTGGCCAGCGGATGACGCAGGGGCCAGGAGCTTGACAGTCCTGCTATAGGGGAACTTCCCACAGCCAATTACTATGCTGTAGGGGAGTTTCTGTAATGACATCAGAATCTAATTATCATCCTACTACCTCAGGCTGTTACAAAGCATGGTTTTAAAAACAGATTTGTTTTATTTTGGTGTTTGAATAATAATATGAATTTGGCATAAAATATATTGGAATTGCCTTCCTCTTTGTGAATGAGTTATTAGAAGTCTAATGCTAAAAGCAGAAGAAGGGATGAACAGGATCTGAAATACATACCTATTTTGGCCAAAACACATACTGGACTTTTCATTGGGTCATCTACCTAGTTATGAAACTTTCAATATTTTGAAGAAACTACCAGTTCCAGGTAACAGCTCCAGAAGCACTGATAGTCTCTATGCAAGTAGCACCTCCTTGGGAAATGGTAATCTCATATCCATATATTCTTCCACTTGGTTCAGGTTTTGTGATGAACACATATGTACAATTTCATCTGGAAAGACACAACACCAAAACTAGGCTGCTGTGTTTCAGATCCTGATTGAGCACATCTGCCAGGAATTTGACCAATTATAATTTCCCAGGCCAAGTCCTTCTATAAACCTGTATGTTGCCATGATTCCACATGGCTTCCTGATTTCTTTCTTCAAAACATTACTATTATAATTTTGTTCTTGGTTTTCAGTGTGACTTGTATTCTATAACAATAACCTTCTTAGTTCTAATATCCCTCCTACCCCTCAGCAGTTGACCAAGCTCCACCAGTTGGCTATGCAGCAAACCCCCTTTACTCCCCTTGGACAGACCACCCCTGCTTTCCCTGGTACGTACCCAAATTCCCTTTACAGATTTCCTTCTCTTTTTACCTATGCAGTTCTCTCTTTTTCTAAGCTTGGTTTCTTAAATTAAAAGTGTGTAGTTGGAGTGGAAATATTAAGAGAGGACAAGAGGCAGATACTAGAGTTGAGAAAAGGTCAGGACATATATTTGCAAGTTATGTGTTGCTATTGTCTGCTCTAAGACATCCATGTCATAACAATCCTTTAGTCAGGGGTAAGGATGCATTCTGCATTGAGAGGCAAAGGTTAATTTTTCATACTTGTCCCTGATTGTTTGTGATATTCTAAGTTATACTACTAGGAGTCAAAGATATATAGATGACTAATGAATGCTTAGCATTTGAACCACTGCTTTTATGGAAAACTAAGAATAGGCCAGTCTTTTATCTCAACTAATTTTCTGAAAATCATTTCTGATAAACTCGGAAATGTCAGGAAAAGGGAGTAGTTTCTGTAGAAAACTAGAATGGCAGATATTATTTATATGGTTACTGAACATATGTTTTAATAGCATTGCATTTGATTTGAACGAAAACTTGCTTTTTCTGCCATTTTATTCATCATATTTTGAGCTTCCTAGATGAAGTGACATTGCTTCTCTCCTTGAAGGCAAAAAAAATAAAAATTAAATGTATTTCTTCTTTGCTCTTCAGGAGAAAAGCTGCCCTTACATTCCTCCGAAGAAGCTCAAAATCTGATGGGCCAGTCCTCAGGTAAAATAAATACAGGAAATACAGTCTTAGAATTCTTTTTGTCATTGCCAAAGTGATACATAAAGCAGTTGTTCTGATTATATTGATGGGATAGTTTTACTGATGTTCAAGAGGCAAGACACAGCACAATAATAGTTATGACCCTACAATTAAAAAATGGCAGCAGTTAAGACAATCTAACCCTTTTTCAGAATAACTCTCCAGCAGAATGACACATCACTGTTAACATGGCTCCTCTTTTAGACCTTAGCTCTTTCATCTTGATGTCTCTCTCTTCAGCTTTTGAAACTGTTCTTCTTTCATCCCCAGATTTTGGCTTAGAGTAAACAGCATCCTTTCACTTTCCATTGCACTCCATACACTCTTTCTAAAGGAAACTGTGATTTAGCAGAAGCCGTAACAAATTAAAAGTTCAAGTAAAATCATTGTGCTCATTCTTTGATTCTGGATTTTGGTATATTTGTATCTGTATAAAAGACATTTGCTAGATACTACTAGCAAAGTAAAAAATAATCTCCATATAAAAAAAAATTCTGTATAAAAATATTTATTTTTTAATGTACCATGCTATAATCAAGATATCACTATTGTATAAAATTATACAAAAGTCTTACAAATGAAAGACATTAATATTATTGTGCTATTATGATAACACAATACTTACCACAGCATAGTGTGTGATGTCCCATTCTCTTTCAATCTGACCATTCCCATAATTTCTTAATTATTCCCATAATTTCTCCTGGAACTAGGAATACCTTTGAAAATAAATTCAGCCATCAATAAATGAATTTAAAATAAACTCAGACCCTCACATATATCAGATCAGGCCCCAAGACTCCATAAAATCCTTACAGCTATTTTGTATTGGCTTTGTTAAAAAACTTTACAAATCAAATCTGTAAATTCATGGGTGTAGACTTCAGTATTACTAAGCTTCATTTCTAAGTTTCAGCAGACTGAACGGGTGTTTGGGTGATTGTGTAGTGACTCTCTTCTCTCATATTCCTGCTTATTTCTTCCTAAGTAGTGGAGAGCAGACTATGGCTTCTCTCTTGACCCTTTCTTTTTAGTTTTTGGTTAGTACTGTGTATTATGCTGACAATTCTCAGCATCTAGCATGGAGTATGTTACCTTCAAACAATTCAAAAAGAGGCTCAAAACCAGATTCCGTTACTGGGCAGTATTACAAAAACATATTTAGATTGATCCCAGCTCAGTTCCATGGAGGTAAATCTTATTAGTCTTAATGGAACATACTTCCAAATGTCTGTGCTTTCTCTGAGAGTCAGTCTGCAAACTATCATTGTCAACGCTTATAAATACTTAATATAAATATCAATGAGATCATGAAGTTGGAGTTATACCAAGTCTTGCTTAGCAAATCTTCATCATCTCATCTGGAAAGTTTCATAACTACAGAATATTGCATAGACTATAGATCTTACACATCCTCTGTTTTTTAATAAAGTACACATAAGATTGTTCACATATTGTATTTGTGCATATTATGAATTATTCATAACAAAGAACTTGTTCATTTAGATTTTTTAAAAAATTACTGCATGTACTTACACCATGGAAATCTTGTGATTAATTCTTATGGAAATATGCATCCTCAATCTATTCACATGGCTAAGATTGCACGCAAAGTTCTAACACGAAGCAATTTAGGCACCAGAGGTTTACTATATAAAATACAGATTTTTTTTAAATGGTAAGTTATAGGGTGATTTAGAATGTATTTTCATTCTTTGTCTTGGAATTGTATTGATTTCAGAAAGCCATATATTGTACATACGGTTCCGTTAAAGGTTGCCCAACAGGCTGCCCAAATTTTTATGTACTGTCATAACCAAATTTTTTAGAATAGTGTTCACTCTTATACTTGGACAAACTACTGTCGTTCTGTGGCTCTTATTAAAAAGCAGAATTCCTAGGTTTCATGATCAGTGACTTTTTATTAGATTTTTAGACAGTGAATTTTAGTCCCACTGTAGACGTGAAAACTTGGCTGGGTGACTTTATTAGTTAAAATAAAGTGATAAAGGTAGAATTTTGAAAAATATATATATATAAATAAATAGTACTTGAGTTTTGGGCATGTAACTATTTAGACTACATTAACAAGTGATTAGGTCATTGCTTTTCACTCTGAAATATTTATTTTACAATATGTTCCTGTGGGAATTATGTGGAACCATAAATTATTAACTGTAGCAGTACAGTTCCAGTACAGTTCCAGTATTACTGTATATTTTAAAAAACACAGTTTTAGAAAACAGATTATGATGTCTACAGTTTATTGGCTGAAGTCCACATTTCTCTTTGGATCTCTATAATTTCAGTACAAAGAATAAACAGGTAAAAACATTCATTCTATTGTGGATTTACTGCCTATAATAATTTGTTTTCATGCTTTGCAAAAAATATATAAGTAATCCTTGCTATTAATTCTCAAGATCATAAGAAATTCCATTTCCTTACTTCCAAAATATGTCTGTCAATCATGCTATATAATTCAATGTAATTTTGCTATAAAACTCCATTATTTCACCAGAACTGGGTTTAAAATACAGTATTCCTCTTCCTTGCAAATGGCATCCATATACAATGAATACCATAGAGGATATTAATTCATCCTTTGGGGAGGCATGATTTAAAATAACCACTGTATCATAGTTTGCCTCCTAAATAGCCACAAGTTCTCCCCAATGTTTCTAAGCAGCTGTATCTTTTATTTTATCAACCAATAGTGACATTTTGAACACTGAAAATTGAAAATGCAGTATAGGCCAGCTTGTTTATTTCAAAAGGCAAAAAAATGAGGTGAGGATATCAGCATTCAAGGAACACATCACTGCATTAAAATCTATTGAATTGCCATCTAATGAAATATTACAGCAACTGCTTTCAGAGCTCCATTTTTTTATCTGTTATTTATTGAAACCTTCATCCTTCCTTAACCTTTGGCTCTAGTGCAGTCTGGAAATCCACAAGATCTGCTATTTTGGTGAAATGCCATCAAAAGTGCGATACTTTCTCCTCAAGCAATGTCCATTTTCTCTTACATATGCTCAGGTTTGGATGCCAATCCCCCGGCCAGTACTCATGAACTCACCATTCCCAATGATGTGAGTATCGCATCTCGTGTTCTGCTTATCTTTCAATAAATGTATGTAGCCAACAGTGACTTCTCATTGTGACATGGTATCAAAAAAGCCTCTTCATTGACTTTAGGCATGCAATTTCATTTGTGGGTACATAAAGCTATTAAACTGAGAAATAAAACAAAGCTTTTGGTAACTTTCGTGGTACGTGGAAAATTTGCTTGGTTAACATTCCTGATAAACAACAGCATTTTTTGCTTGAATCAAGGACTCCATTTTGAAAGATCTGCCACTTTCAGCTGGATATCTAAAACCTGCCATGCTACCATATGAGAAGGGAATTTCTTTCCTCATCCATCTCAATCCTGATCCATCTCATTATGGTCCTTCTTTTGTGATGGAAGGATCTGTTGTATGTCTGAGTACTCTTATATTAGAATAGTTCTTTTTCATTGGAATGGTGTTCATGTAAAGGTCATAGTCCCACATTTCAGACATAAATAGGCAAAGCAACTCAAACCACTGGTTTAAAAAAGAAATCAAATATATTGTACTTCTTTTGGAATTACTAATGAAAATTTGTTCTCCTACTAAGTTTTTCCAAAACTCGATTGTGTTTGTTTGTTTGTTTTCTCACATTCCTGAACTGCCCATTTCTCTCAGGTTGGGAGTCTGGACAGTGTACAACAAAGTATTAAAATATAAAAACAATATATTAAGTTAAAAAATTTAGAGAGAGAGGATGATAAAAACTTTCTTAAAATTAAATAAAAGATAGGGGAAGGGTTCTCAGTGAGGCCCACAGCTGCTTACACCTCTGGACTCCCCACATGAAACTGCAGAGACATATTTTAACTTCTTTTCAGAAGGCCATGAAAGTGGGGGGAGACTATTCCATTGGGCAGGAGGTGGGGCGCAAGGGCAAAGAAGGCTCTCTTCCTAGATTGCACCAGTTGGATTTCTTTAGCTGCAACATATCTTCCCTCTCTGACTGGGTGGGACAGACTGATGTAATCTATTTAATTTTTATAGGTTAGAAGTGAAAATAAAAAGTATCCATTCTAAGGTATAATTGTTATTGTTTTAGAATGAATGGCTTTCTATTTCTATGTAAAATGATTGTATGTATTTCAAATTATTTTAAAAGTTAAAACTTGTAACTTTTATAAACCATTGTTCCATTAACAGTAGCCAAAATAATGTATAAAAATATAAATGTATATAAAAATAATGTATAAAAATAATGTACATCTCTATGTTCTAAATTAGGGCATCTATATAGAGAAATGAAGATGAATATTATCACATGTACAATAGAATTATATATTCTAGATTTAGCCTAGAATGATATGTATCAGAAGAAATAGACATGAAAATGGCTCGGGTATTTTCTTGCAGTGTTTAAGTAGCTTAATTTATCCTGCATTAATTTATGAAATGAGTTCTATTCTTGCTATAGCCATGAAGCCAGTAGCTATCAAAATGGACAGGCAATTGGTTCGGGATGTGTGAAAAGATTAGCAATTTAAAGAAACAGCCGTCCCCCACAATGTAAAAGCACTGATAGCACTAGCATTTAGCACTTAGACTTATATACCACTTCAGATGCTTTACAGCACACTCTAAGCAATTTACAGAATCAGCATATTGCTCTGAACAATCTGGGTCCTCCTTTTATCAACCTCGGAAGGATGGAAGATTGAATCAACCTTGAGCCCTGTGAGGATCAAACTCCAGGCAATGGGTGAAGTCAGCTTGCAATACTGTATTCTAACCACTGCGCCACCACAGCTCTAATGATAACGATAATGAAGTGATAGAGAAAATTTCCACAGAATGAGTATAATTAACTTCCAGAATAGACCCAATTTAAAGTATTCTTGACTGTGGCTTTGAAACTTCAATAGTTGTGAGTTTCTCTAGTTGTCATTTGATTTGAAATAGGTGTCTTATAAACCTATAAAATAATAGTTTTCAATACAGGATGGCAAGCCACAGTGCCACTGTGAGTGTACTCAGATGAAGTCCAGAATGAATAGATTATTACAATAAGAACAATCTCCCTATCGTAGAGTTTCTCAAGTAGCAGTTATAATTCTAACACACAAATGCACTAGATCAAGGCATCTATTCAAAAGAAGGTCAGTAGGTTCATTCACTGTACCCCACATCAATGTAATTTAATCCAAAGTAGAGTAGAAAGGAAGAATATGCAAACAGATTTTTTTGGAAAGCAAAGAACCTCCATCTAGGGATGACTAAATCCAAGAATGATGTTCCATAAATATTGTTCAATTTTCTCATAACAGTTTGGGCTTCCTAGCTACTGGTATACAACCATAAGATTCCAGGGCACCTATCAGTCCAGAAGATTTAATTGATACTTAATTCCTTCGTGTCAAAAATTCTACATTATAAGATACTAATGAGCAAATGTTCACCAAATACAGCTTATTTCATACTAATGTTCACCAAATACAGCTTATTTCTGTTCTAATTGACTCTAACTAGAAATTCAAAATGTTCACTGAAATTGCAGAAGTACAAATATGCATTTTTTTTTCTTCAGTGGGTCTTATATTACACAGCTCAAGAAAATCTACAATTTAGATGCAATATGCTTTTTCTTAAAATCCACTTGTTCTGTCAGGGTTGTCTGTCTGCCTCTGTCTCTCTTTCTCTTTCTGTCTCCTGTATCTATCTACAGGTAGTCCTCAATTTACAATTTCCACAATTGAGCCTGAAATTTTGGTCATAAGTCATTGTGATCATAAGGCGAGTGACCATGTAACTGGACTTGATTTTATTGCTGTTTTTATGATGGTCATTAAGCAAATTAACAAATCAAATGGTCCTAAATCTGAATCCAGCTTATTCAATAGGCATTTTTGGCTTTATCCAGTAGGCATTTTTTGCCCCTTTTTTGGTCAGAAAATGCCCCCCCACAAAAAAAACCCTTTGCAAAACACAATCACAGGATCATAAACGTGAGCTAGTTACCAAGCAGCAAATGTGCAATCAAATAACCATGGGGTGGTGTAGAGTGTAAGTAACTTTTTCCAAATCCATCATAACATTGATCAGTCAATAAGCAACCAATTGAGGACTACTTGTTACAAATTGTAAAATAGATAAGAAGTTGATATTGGTCTTGAAGATTGCTTCTCCAGTGCCAATAGATAATTTTGGACTATAGACCCCACAATTCTTTGTCATTGGCAATTCTCACATTCCATAAATCCAGTTAATTAAGTTTTAGAAAAAGAGAAAGCAAATGTTTAAAACAATTTCTGAAGAGCAATACGTCTATTTAATATTTTATGAAATTTTAATGGATGTCACTATATTTGAGTCCTAACTTGAAAAATCTTTTCTTTGGTCAGTTTTCTTTTTAATTTGCCCATTAAGAAAGTTTTGGCTTGGCTTTCACTTTCCATCCTTTCTCTGCTAATTTTTACATCTAAACATTTATGATTATATGTAGGATGGTTGGATGTTTACTGTTATTATTTATATTATTAAATATATAATCCTAGTTGTTTTATAGTAGAATTATTAATCTTCTCAGTTTTGCTTGTGACCACTGACTCACTTCAGCTCCAGGCCAAACACTTCAAGAAGAGAAAGAAGCCCAGTAGTCATTCCATTGAACATGGACTAAGCAACTAATAGGCCCTCCTGTCTCAGCTGCTTCCTCAGAGCAGAAGCCCCCACACCACTCTGAGCACATAGTGAGGAGAAAAAAGACATGTCAGAACTCTTCACCTTCTCTCTACACCTTCTGTAAGAAGGTGACCGAAACCAGGAGAGAGCTAGGATAAAGCCTGGGCCTGCAAAACAAACACGCTTTGGGATTGTGTTGTAGAACAACAAAACGGAGAGATCCTTCAGGCCTCACCTAAGGCCACCCATTACCATCTGTATGCTATGACACAGGCAAAATGGGGCATGAGACTGATTGCAGGGGGTGGGGGGTGTTATTCTGGGAATATTCAGTGCTCCATTGTGGAGCAATGTAATCCCTAATCAGTCATAGGAGACAGGAATATTAGGTACAGTATGTTCACCGCTATAAAAAGGCAGAATAATGATTAAAAATAATGATATACAGTGTTTCAGTTTCTATATAGGAATGCCTGTATTTCATATATGTTCTATATGTGCTATATTCCATCACAACAAAGTGTCCCTTTGCAGTTAGAAATACATTTTAAATAAGGAAACATCTAGGAATATTTCTGCTTAATAATTCATAGCTTTCTCCAACTATCAAAGAGGCCGTGCAGCTCCAATCTCCATTAGTGATATTTCCATAGTTATAGTTGGGCAGTGCTAAAAAAAAAAAAAGAGTTTGAAAATCTCCCTGTGATATAGGAAAGAGCATAGTCACAGCTTGTTAGTAACAAAACAAGAGAAACTAATACTGAGGTTTCTGGTCAGTTTTGTGCTATTTGTTGTTCACAATTCTTAATACCATAAGAGTTAGTTTAAGAAAGTCCTAATATCTCTTTTCCTAGTTAATAGGCTGCATAATTGGACGCCAAGGGACCAAAATTAATGAAATCAGGCAGATGTCTGGAGCCCAGATCAAAATCGCCAATGCCACAGAAGGCTCCTCAGAGCGTCAGATCACCATCACAGGAACCCCAGCTAACATCAGCCTTGCTCAATACCTCATCAACGCCAGGTGATTTCCGCCTTAGACCCTCATTCTTATCTTCATCCACTTGTTCATAAATGGTTAAGTATGCCCAAGTGGCTACAATACTCATAGCATGCTCATTTCCACTGCATCACAGAATTTCCAGGAAGTCAATATCTTTAGAAATCTATTTCTGTTAAATATGATGCAGAGCTAGTTGCCCTCTGTGGTCTATTTTGGAAAGCATGCAAGTGTGAACGAAATGAGGTAACCAAACAGTCTTAGGCAGCCAAACTACTAGTCTTTATTAACATTGTTTGTCTCCTGGCTAATGTAACACCACCATTTTGATTGACATTGCGCACGATTTCAGTAAATTATCAGATTATTCAGTTAATTGCATTAAATCAAATACTGCTCTCCTTTTCTTAATTTCCGGTTTATAGCTATTATTTTTGCTTAATTCGTCATTTTACTTAGCCAGATATGTCAAATTCTTTTCATTTTAACAATATTTTTTCACAAATAAAAAAATCATTAACATCAAAGTTAAAACAGCTGTTTTTCATAGCAAGTTTATTAGTAACTAGTCTATATACTGTAGATAAGAGAAAAATCTGATAAACTTATCTTTTTGGCTTCTGGTCTTAGCAATTAAGAGAATAGCATAAGCATTTCTGAGGAATTAGTACCATAAATTTAACTTTGAAAACTAAATGTTTTCATATACAAAACACAATAAGCTTTAAGCAATATTTTCCTTCCCAAAAGTGTATTTCCCATCATCATAAATGTTGATTAGACTAACTCTAGGTTATCAAATTATTAGTTTTTTAGATACCGTATTTCCCCATGTATAAGCCACCCCTTTTTTCCAAAATTTTCAAGCCCAAAAAGTAGGGGGGTGGCATATACAAAGCAGGTACACTTTTTATACGTGAAAAATGCATAAAATAATAAAGTAGGAATAAACTGGTTTTCCAGCAGTATGCTATACTTTTTTGTAAAAATTGTACGTGATGATACGATTACGAGTGCGAGTACGCGATAGAAATGCATACGCTAGGCATCGGCCTGAATGCTTCGTTCCTACTCTCGTTCCGATGCGTAGATTGCTAGCGTCGCCCGCACCGCTTTCGGCGTCATGACCGAAGTTGTAGATCTAGACGTCGAATTTTGTTTCTTTGTAAATTTTCTTTCTTCATAACTTGTTTCTCTAATAAAATATTTTTTTCAAAACTTCACAGTCCAAAAATTGGGGGGGTGGCTTATACAAAGGGGGTGCTTATACATGGGGAAATACGGTACTATAACCATTATAAATAATGACTATTATAAGTCATTATTTTTAATAGCATTTTTGCTGTCATATATCAAATAATATGCTTATTTGATATTAAATTTATTTGAATGTGTTCAACTCAAAACACTTCTGTAAATTAAAAAATATGCACATAATTTTGCTTGGCAATGTTTTATGTTGTAGTGCCCTTGATAAAAGTTTTCTTATGAGCCATACTGACAGTTGAATTGCAAATTTCTATTTGCAAGAACTTCGGAACAGTGTTGGAAAACCCATTTTAAACCAATGATTAAGGGATTCAAAGAATATTGCAAATGTTACTCTTAATCATGAAATATGATTAATGCAGCAAAAATGTTTTTCATGTTTATTGGATACTTCAGATAAAGTTTATTATTTATTATGCTGGAGTATCAAATGATGGGGGTACCCTAATTTATATGATGTGACTTGAGCTGCCATTCTGATTTATATGTTTATTAATATGTTTTTGGGAAGAGTACTATTGTTGAAAGATGTGAATGCTAATTAAATTATGTATCCAGATTTCAAATGTATCATTTTATGCATTATTTGGTTTTAGTGAGCAAGATTATGTTGGAAAGAGATTCCCCGATTGACAGTCTTAAATTGATTGTGTTTAATTGTTTATCAGCATAATGGAAAGAGTAATCAATATTACTATGTGGTCAAGTTTAATGCTGTGCTTAAAGCTGAACTTTTTTAATGTTTCCTTTCTCTTTTTCTTTTCCCTATGTGTTTACTTTTCATTTGTTTCTGTATTTTTTCCTTTCTAGGTATTAAAGCAAAAATTTAAAATAATAAAAGACAATCTGCTAATAGCAAGATTAAATAAAATTGCTTGTCATAGCAGAAAGGCAAGATACAATAATCTGTTAATATACAAGACTAATATCAATACCATTAATTATTTTCCATGATGGAGAAACTGTGGCATGCATATCTCAGGGGTGTCAAACTCAAGGCCCGGGGCCAGATCCAGCCCACAGGGTACTTAGATCTGGCCCACGGAGCCACCCTAGAAACAGTGAAGAACTGGCCTGCGGTGCCTCTGCCAGTGAAAACAGAGCTCAGGAGTGCTGCAGGAGGCCCTCCACAGCTCTGTTTTCACTGGCAGAGGGTTTCAAGAGGCTGTCGCAGCCTAAAATGGAGCTTGGGATCCCGTTTTCATTGGCAAAGCACTTGGGCCACCAGATTCCCCTGATACGAGTGATGTTGAGCTGGCCGTGCCCACCCTGGTCACACGTACCCTGGCCCCCCCAAGGTCAAACACAACCCTGATGCGGCCCTCAATGAAATCGAGTTTGCCACCCCTGGTACCATATCTGGATAGGAAAAAATGGATAACGAATGTGTCCTATGATGCTACATTAAGCCTTGTTTTTCAGTTAAGCAGAAGCTGGAGAATGCACAGCATTTGCATGGTAAAGTAGAACTTTACCCAGGTGAAGCAGGCAAGATGCCCATTGTCCCCAATCTTGGTAATATGGCCAAAAATGTCAACGCTCGGAAGGGATGGGCATTACAGAGGACATTGGGACAATTTTAGCAAATGTGGCGCTATTGTCATATTCATTGAAGTCCTTCATCCTCTTGAACATTCATACAGTAGTGCAACTACTAAAAAGACTGGCCAGCATCGTTCCACAGTAAAAACAGGTCTTGATACAGTTTTTAAATGGAATATAAATAATCAGTATTGCCTAATACTATCATTTTAAACATCCTCTCTCAAAAAGTTCTCACTAGATTTGGTAATTTTGACTATTGGATTTTTCCCAAAGTTCTAGGATAGTTAAAGATTGTAATGTAATATGGGTAGTCCTCGACTTATGACCATAATAGAGCTCAACATTTCTGTTGCTGAGTTTTGCTCCACTTTATGACCTTTCTTGCCACAGCTGTTAAGTGAATCACTGCAGCTGTTAAGTTAGTAGCCGGGTTGTTAAGTAAACCTGGCTTCCCCATTGACTTTGCTTGTAAGAAGGTCACAAAAGGGGATCAAAGGACCCCGAGACATTGCATCCATCATAAATATGAACCATTTGCCAAACGTCCAAATTTTAATCATATGACTAAGGGGGTGCTGTAACGGTTGTAAGTATGAAAAATGGTCATAAGTCACTTCTTTTCGGAGATGTTGTAACTTTGAATTGTCACTAAATGAACTGTTGTAAGTGGAGGACTACTTGTATATGCACTATTCCAAGGAATATGACTATTTGTAATTGAAGTATTGAGATTCTGCCCATTTCCATTGTGTTTAGAGCATTGCCAGATCTTTTGATAGGGCACCAGCACTTGAACACAATAGGAATGGACATACACAACAACTACAACTCACTATATGAAGGATGGAGCATGGTGGATAAAACACAAGTCTTTTGATTTCTTCCTCATAAACTGCAAATACTCCTGCTGTTTTTCATCTGTATGTATCTTTCTTCTAGGCTGACGTCTGAGGTGACTGGAATGGGTGCACTCTAATTTCTCTCTTGCCATCTTTAATTCTACATCACCCGACTCCATCAAGTTAATTATCCTTCATTCAGCTTGTACAGTCTGCATATTTACTACTTCACATAACTGTTTTACCTCTTAGGATATTTTTCTTCAAAAAGGAATGTGTGCATGCACATCCACACTCACACGCTCATGTTGATAAGACACTGTCTTCCCCTTGTGTACTCCTGGTTTTCTTAGAATTTAATTTATGTTCCAGGCCAGTCTGTGTTTCAGATGTAAAGTGCATATTAACCTAAATAAATTTTGCTGGGGTTTTTCTTTCCTTAATTCTTCACAGAAGGCATTCTCTTAGCCACAATTTAGCTGGACCTTGTTATCTTCATTCCCTCAGCTTTCTTTTTCAGCCCCTGCAGTAATTCTGAGACAGAGCTTCGTTTAGAGCAAGAGTTGCTTTGAAATAGATATTCAGTTTTGTCACTACTCTCTCGGTTTCTGTTCCTGCCTCATCCTTAAAAGTATCATTTGAATCTGGCATGGTTTCTCCCCGTTAAACAGAGCAGGCAAGACCCAGTGAGCATCAGCAGGAAATCTCACTGGTTCCCTGGTTGATTCCTCCTGCTACTTTGCAGTGGCATAGCCAAAACAAGCCCTTCTCATAATCTCACAACAACAACAACAAAAACAACAACAACCAAAGGTGGGGCGGGCGAGAGAGGAGAAAAACCTTTTCCTGAAATGTGGAAAACATGGAGCATGAAACCAAATTAAATTCAAAGTGGCAGGAACTGCTGAAAACAAGCCACCCACAGACTTTTGGACTTAGGTTAGAAAAGCTCCAGTTTCTGTGAGCCAGCTGTGTTTGCCATTGTTTAAATCCAATAAAGCCTGTGCAGCTTTGCTAGTAATAATTGCTAATGTTGATTTCAGTGCTTCTTTTTGTTGATGGGGTTTGTATATCATTTATCTTACTCAATTTATTTCACACTTTGATTGGGAAAGAGAGAACTTAAGATATAACCATTGGAGTGACTTTTTAATGATGGGAGAGTTCACATTACACAATTCATATCACAATTCAGGAGGTACTGAGTACACTAAATGTCATCTGATGAAGACATTCCTCCCACCCTAATGTTTCAGGCACTATTTAAGCAAGCAAACAAATAAACCAGAAATTCAAGAAGCACAATTTATCCTTGTCTGATTTCCCAGTATATGTAGTCCTTGACTTACAACAGTTACATTACATTTCTATAACTCGAGGACTACCTTATCTGTAGCACAATGTTAAAATTGCAACGTATAACAGAGCATTAGTTTAGGAATAAACTACTTAGACCAGGGGTAGTCAACCTTTTTACACCTACCGCCCACTTTTGTATCTCTATCAGCAGTAAAGTTTTTCTCTAACCGCCCACCGGTTCCACAGTAATGGTGATTTATAAAGTAGGGGACAAAACCCCTATCGCCCACCATGAAAGCTGGAATGCCCACTAGTGGGCGGTAGGGACCAGGTTGACTACCACTGGCTTAGACAGACCAGAAAGGATCGTTTTTCACACTTACAATTGTTGCAGTATCCCCATCAAAATTCAGATACTTGGCAACTGGCATGTATTTATAACAGTTGCGGTGTCAACATAAGTCAACATAATGCCTGTATCTTTACAGTATTGGGGTTTTTCACAACCATTAGCTATTAATAATAAGGTGAATAGATTCAGGTTCAATGGTAAGGAGTGCACCATTGGAAAACTTGAAAGACCAGGTTGTCATGGAGAAAATCTGTGTGATGCAGGGTGAACAATGACTTGGTAATTAAAAATGGCTATGAATAGTAGTAGATCATATGAACAGTTAGTTTCAATGTTCCCAAGTGTTTAAATAATCCTTTAGGCCTATCTGTCTGTATTTGGCAGGATACATTCCTCAACAAGGGCCAAATATGTCCACAAATTACTGGCCACATTTTTTTAAAAAATTAAAGAAATCTGTTCTTATTTTAATAGAAGACTTCATGCCCTCAGAAGAATCTATATGCCCACAAAATCTTATTTTGTTGAAGAGATTGGGTTTTTTTTCCCAGCAATCTGCTGTGGTTCGCCAGCAGCCGGTACAGATGGCAGCAGAATTGGACATTGGGGAAGAAAGGGGACCAGTCAGGGAGTCTGGAGAGGACTTGGACGAGGGTCCTGCGTCCAATTCAGGGATGGGGCCAGGACCATCTGGGAGTGAAGTGCTGCCTCCGGAGCATTCAGAGTCTGGCAGCAGCGAGGCAGAGGACCCAGGGGAGCCTGTTGCCAGTATGCGTGTGCGCAGAGCTGCTAGAAGGCAAGAGCAGCTGAAACAAAAGGGGCGACTCGGGAGTAAGGCTGGGAGGTGATTGCCCCTCCCAAAAGGGATAAAAGTCAGGCCTAAATGATGAAACTTTTGCAGAAAGCAAGGTAATTCGATCGGTTCTGAGTCCTCCTTGAAGCTCTATGTACTTTGGTTGGTTTTTTCTTGTACTTTGGTTGATTTCTTTTATAGTTAATAAATACTTCTGTTTTTGGCAGCATTTCACAGAACTGAAAGGTGTGTGCTTATCTTGGGGGACTGTTTAAGATTAGTTCTGGCTGAGAATGAAAACAATTCCCAGCATTGCAATAAAATAGGTTTTGCTTTTAAATCAAGTTTGTGATTAATTACGATTTACGAAGCCTGGGTCAGAACACAATCTTTCCTGACAATATCTTTTCTAAGGTGCAAGTATCAGAACAGAAAACAATATTGTATTCCAAGAGTGGCCACACAATATTCTGTAATAGCCTAACAATATCAAAAGCTTGGTTTTTACCTCTTTCCTAATGACCATCTTTATAATAAATGTTGGACCAACATCATTAAGCTATTACAAATCCACAAACCTCAAATTTTAAAATGTTTTGAAGCAATTAATGAAATATTAAAACACAGGTTTATCTCAAACCAGAGTTGAAGTTCTTTTCAGAAGGTTCGGCATGAAGGAAATTGCTAAGCCCTCATGATCACCCAGTAATCCATTCCATCCACTTTTTTTTGCACTGAATAATCAAATGGCCCTGAGAAATAGTCATAATTGTCTCTAAACCATTTAAGGAAGTTGCAGACTGCTTCTCATTTTCAGTTGAAAATTCAGTGGTAATGCAGTTTGCACCCATGCAATTAAATCTCAGTTGCCAAGTGCTAGAAACAGTATAATACAGTATAATACAAGTTCTGACCTGTTCTGGAGAACTGGTAGCGAAAATTTTAAGTAGTTCAGAGAACTTGCAAATACCACCTCTGACTGAAGATTTTACAGTATCCTTCCCCTGACACGCCCACTAACCCACACCCACAGAACCGGTAGTAAAAAAAATTGAATCCCACCACTGATACAAAGATTTCCAACAAGTTCCTGAGCTGAGTTCAGGTGACTGAAAGTGGGAACTGGTTTGAATAAAACAGCCCAATTCCATTTCCCACTTTAATTCCTTCTACCACTATTCTAATCTTCATCCTTACCTCCAAATTCCATGTCTTAAATCCTTGGCCTCAAAGGGATCCTCACCTAACATTATGTCAATGTCAGCTTTCTTATAATCATCCAATTCCATTCCTCATGAGAGGTGACAAGCTCATGTCATCATGGTGGTGTCACATGACATTTTGGGATTTCCTCCCCCCCTTCCTTTCACTAAACCACACATGGATGTGGCCAGTGCGTGACATATCTGGTCCCTGGCTGGGAGTTTGACAGTTCTGCTCTAACCAAACCGTCTTCATTCCCCAATCACATCACATAGCACTGCACTGAAATGAGTGAATTGGCAGCCACCGCAGGCCCCCATGTTCTTTTTTTTTATTATAAAAATTTTATTTGGATTTTCACAAACATAATACAAGTAATTTTTTTTTTTTTTTTTTTTAGAATAACATGGTCCAGGGCTATCACTTCTCCATACAGACACAAATTCAATTTCATATTCATCTTTGTGTTCTATTCCATATCTTATTGCTATTTTAACATTTTCTCAATAATTTTTCCCTTCCCTTAGTTTTCTCAATCTTACTTTTAACTATCTCATTCCTTTCTGAATTCAATTATATATATCTTTTCCTAAGTTTCAATACCTTTCTAGTCATCATATTTATACTTTTGTCTGTCCTGTTTCAATTTCATATTTTCTTTTCATTAAACAAAATTTTCCCTGTAGTTACTAATTGGAGTATGACACCTTTGCATCTTTTAATTTTTATCCATTCAGCTCTTATTTAAACTTCAATTTATGCCTTTACAATATAACATTCAATATAACACATAACTTCCAGTCGAATTCTGCTTGGTACATTCTTAAAATATGCACCAAGTTCTTAAAGAGGGAATATATATATATAACAATAATAAATAAAATATTTATTCTATTCCAGTTCAGCTCTATCATTAATGTTAGTTATAATTTTTGACATCTTTAACATTTCTTTTCAATAAGATATCATACTTCTAGGAACACTTATAATATTTCCATAATTTTTTTCATGTTTCTTTCATATTCCTCTTCACTTAAATTTTTATAACACATTTATAATAATTAAAATGTTCCCCTCCATTCCTAATTTCATTCTCTCATTCTCTTTATTTCATTTATTTATTAAACATTACATTACATTACAATGAGTATTTTATCTATTTTTAATCACATCATATTTTCAAAGTTCATTTCTATTTCTAATATAACAATACTATCTTATGTACCCTTGCAGAATCCCCCTTTTAATTAAGTTTTCACCAATTATCTCTGTGTCTTGTACGTTTTCCCTGTTTCTCTATGTCCTGTTTCTATCCTTTATAATTTCTTTTCCTTTCTCTCTTCTCCCTCTTCTTCTCCCTTCCCTTTTTGACCCCTTCTCTCTCTAATTCTGATCCTCTCTTCTGTAATCCTCTCTTTTGTTTCTTCTTAATGTTGTAATTACTTTTCAAACTATTCTTTTTTTGAGTTGTTTTTTCAGATCTTATATTTTTCACTCTCTTTCCCCACTTC